CACACATACAGTATATATTTTGAAAATATTTACATGTATATATTTATATTCATACAATTTATATTATATATAAATATATTTAATATATTAACATAACATATATTTTAAATATATACATGCATGTGTGTGTATTTATATATACATAATAAATATACACAGTACACACACATATATTACGTACACAACAACTTTTATTTTGGATGCGATTAATCATTGCCCAGCACTAGTTTAAATTTAGATTTAGACTATTTTAATATAATAAGCAGTTAGGCAGACATTAGTGAAGTATTTTTACTTTACTCAAGTAAATTTAAAAAGTATCTGTAGTTTATCAGAGTGTTTTTCTTTCTTCTAAGTGGAAACCAGGGCTACGCATCAAATACCTGATCAGACGGTTTAATGTGGCTCAGATTCAGACAGGAGTCGTGTTTGTGTTTTTCTGCTGATTAATGGAGAATACCAGATTAATTCACACACAAATGATTCTCAAAAGCAAAAATAGCACGAAATGTTTTATATTCTGTTGAAAGTGTGATGTGCTCCAGCAAAACAGACCCAGAATCAGCAGCACAAAATTATTAAGAAACGACCTGGATTTTAATCAGCAGATATGATGTAGGGTGGTGTATTAATAATAATAACAGTACTGCATGAATCACTTGTTTGTGCGCTGCTGAAACACAGGCAGGATCTCCAGAATAATGAGACGGTAGTTTATTGACCTGAACTCTCGTTTATAGTTCAGTAAAGCAATAAAATCATCTTACATCGAGAACTGAGAACTAAACCTGCTTTTCACAACGAAACATACATCATTCTGAAAACTGTTTTACACTCGCAGCTCTGTGAATGCATGTGCTGTTGAAGTGTGTGTGTGTGTGTGTGTGTATCTGTGTGTGTGTATGTGTCTGTGTGTGTGTGTCTGTGAGTGTGTATCTGTGTGTGTGTATCTGTGAGTGTGTATCTGTGAGTGTGTATCTGTGAGTGTGTATCTGTGAGTGTGTATCTGTGAGTGTGTATCTGTGAGTGTGTATCTGTGAGTGTGTATCTGTGAGTGTGTATCTGTGAGTGTGTATCTGTGAGTGTGTATCTGTGAGTGTGTATCTGTGAGTGTGTATCTGTGAGTGTGTATCTGTGAGTGTGTATCTGTGAGTGTGTATCTGTGAGTGTGTATCTGTGAGTGTGTATCTGTGAGTGTGTATCTGTGAGTGTGTGTATCTGTGTGTGAGTGTGTATCTGTGAGTGTGTGTGTCTGTGAGTGTGTGTGTATCTGTGTGTGTGTGTGAGTGTGTATCTGTGTGTGTGTGTGTCTGTGAGTGTGTGTGTATCTGTGTGTGTGTGTGAGTGTGTATCTGTGAGTGTGTGTGTCTGTGAGTGTGTGTGTATCTGTGTGTGTGTGTGTGTGTGTGTCTGTGTGTGTGTGTGTGTGTGTGTCTGTGTGTGTGTGTGAGTGTGTGTGTGTCTGTGAGTGTGTGTGTGTGTTCTAGTGTGTTTCTGATGGTCCGTCCTGCTTCCTCATCTCACAGCCGTCCAGTGACAATGAGTGTGGAATCATGGGAAGGCTGAAGGAGCGTCACAGGTATTTGTTGGCCAGGTTTGTGACGTCATTTTGTGAGAAAGCTTGAGTCTGCACTGCATGAAGCTTCTGGAAGATCTGTGAGAGCTGTGTGCGATCCTCACCGTCCAACAACATCAGCACCATCTGCACACACACACACACAGACACAGACACAGACACACACACACAGACACACACACACACACAGATGAGAAAACGCTTTAACACACTGATAATGACACTTGCAGTGTGTTTATGATTGTTCTGCCCACTAAATAATGCACACACACGTTCCTCAACCCAGCACTGTCTTCTGATTGGCTGATCAGGGACTTGTCCTGCTGTCCACTATTACGAGTTTGTTTCTTGATCTTAAATATGCGCTTAAATATAAATATTATGTAAGCGTGTTGTTGGCATGTGGTAGGGCTGCTCGATTATGGCAAAAATCATAATCACGAATATTTTGGTCAATATTGTAATCAGGATTATTTAACACGAGTGAGTGTACCATATGACCAAAACTTTATATGAGTAATTTATTTAAAGATAGCGATATATCAAATATAGATTTCCTTTAAACAAGGTTGCTATGACATCATTTTAGACACCAGCAAAATTCCACAATTCTCAATACTTGAGAACTTATATAAGTTAAACAAAATATTGAAAAATAATGAAACAGTCAGTAATACAATAAAAACAAAAACAGCAAAGGACATGTTTTACTGTAAGAATTCAACTTGCTTTGTTTATTATTGATGCTACAAATATCCATCAGTCCAGAGCAGTGAGTTTTGTTGTTTGATTAATAGTAAGCAAAGTCTGCAGGAATGTACAGCCTGCTGTCACTTTAAGAGCTGCACGGATCCAATATACTGTTAAACACGTATTTTCATTCTCAACTGTTTACATTTACTTAAGACAAGATCGACGAGGGTTTACGTGAAAAATCATTAAGCGCCACATTTTGACATATTTTTGCGTGTATTTGACCGTTTAGACACGCACCTTAAACTAAAAGTTTACTTTTTACTTGTCGGCATCTGTTCCGTCTCCGCGCACCACAGAAATACTCTGAATCAGCGCACGTTTTCTTTCGGGTTTTTAACATATATAAATCGAATAAACTTTAATAAATCAAGCACGTCCCATTTTGCAAAAGTTGTTACATACCGATTTGCACGTGAAGTTTGGGCTTTTATGGTGGAGTGAAAGCGCACAGCTGGAAAGGGGTGAAATGGTGCATAATAATCGTTTTATCTTGATTATTGCATTTTCATAATCATAGGAAGCCAAAATCAAAACCGTATTTCGATTAATTGCACAGCCCTAGCATGTGGTTGGCGTGTGGTAGGCGTGTGATTGGTGTGTTGTTGGTGTGTTGTCAGCGTGTGGTTGGCATGGGTTAGCGTGTTTGTTGGTGTGTTGTTGCGTGTGTTAACATGTTTGTTTGCATGTGGTAGGTGTGTGATTGGCATGTGTTAGGCTTGTGATTGGCATGTGTTAGCGTGTGGTTGGCGTGTGGTAGGCATGATGTTTGCGTGTTGTTGGTGTGTGATTGGCGTGTGGTAGGCATGATGTTTGCGTGTTGTTGGTGTGTGATTGGCGTGTGGTAGGCGTGTTGTCAGCGTGTGATTGGTGTGTGTTAGCATGTTTGTTTGCGTGTGGTTGGCGTGTGTAAGCGTGTTTGTTGGTGTGTGGTTGGCATGTGTTAGCTTGAGGTTGGCATGTGTTAGCCTGTTTGTTGGTGTGTGGTAGGCGTGTGGTTGGCATGTGTTAGTGTGTTTGTTGGCGTGTTGTTGCGTGTGGTTGGCGGGTGTTAGCGTGTTTGTTGGTGTGTGGTAGGTGTGTGGTTGGCATGTGTTAGCATGTGGTTGGTGTGTGGTAGGCGTGTTTGTTGGCATGCTGTTGCATGTGGTTGGTGTGCTGTTGCCATGTGGTAGGCGTGTGTTGGTGTGTTGTCAGCGTGTGGTTGGCATGTGTTGGCGTGTTGTTGCGTGTGTGATTGACGCATGTGTTAGCATATGGTTGGCGTGTGGTAGGCGAGTGATTGGCGTGTGGTATGCGTGTTTGTTGGTGGGTGGTAGGCGTGTTGTTAGCGTGTGATTGGTGTGTGGTAGGCGTGTTGTTAGTGTGTGTGATTGGCATGTGTTAGCATGTTTGTTGCATGTGGTTGGTGTGTTGTTAGTGTGTCGTTGACTGTCGTGTTGTTGGCGTGCTGTTAGCATGTCATTGGTGTGTTGTTAGCGTGTGGTTAACGTGTTGCTAGTGCATTGGAGTGTTGTTGTCATCTTTGTTGGCGTGTGGTTTGCTCACCGTGAGTCTGCGTGCCGTCTGCAGCTGCTGCAGGTGCTGGAACACCAGCTCGGGGTGTGTGTGCAGCAGGTGTGTGTTCAGCGCCCGTATGATGAAGCCCAGCGTGTGTCCGTCCAGCTGTGTGCCGATGAGCCGCGGCAGGCATTCGGAAGTGACGGAGCGCATGAGCTCAGCGCAGGTCAGCAGGTCACCACCAGAGAGAGCACTGTTCAGCGCCTGACCAAACTCAAACGTGTTAGACGACCGCAGGGAGACGGACGGCCCGACTGCACTGCTGCCCTCATCTTCATCATCATCATCCACCTGCAGAGAGATGACCTCAGACCTGTGCTCTGTGTGTGAGTGTTTATCTGTGTGTGAGTGTGTGTGAGTGTGTTTGCGTTTTTGTGACATATGATGATACAAATTTGTATAATGACATGGGTATGACAGGTATTACAAGGAGAAGGTGATTTATGAGGACATTACCACATGACCCCATTTTTCAAATGAGTGAGTTTTTTTTGAGAAAGTAAAAATGCACAAAGTTTCCTGTAAGGGGTAGGTTTAGGGGTAGTGTTGGTGTAGGGCAATAGCACATACAGTCTGTACAGTATAAAAACCATTGCGCTTTATGGAATGTCCCCACAATTCACAAAAACAAACCTGTGTGTGTGTGTGTGAGTGAGTGAGTGAGTGAGTGTACGTGTGTGAGTGTGTGTGTGTGAGTATGTGTACCTACTTAACCATATTTTGGGGTCAAATTTATAAAAAACTTTTTTTTTTTAATTGTAAAAATGCAGAAAGTTTTCTGTGAGGGGTAGGGTGTGGGTTAGGATTAGCTTATAAAATAACTATCTATCTAGATATATAAACAATAGAAGTCTATGTAATGTCCCCATTTTGATAGCTAAGTAAATGTGTGTGTGTGTGTGTGTGAGAGAGAGTGTGAGTGTGTGTGTGTGAGTGAGTGTGTGTGTGAGTGTGTGTGTGAGTGTGTGTATGTGAGCATGATTGTGTGTGTGTGTGTGTGTCTGAGTGTGTGTGTGTGTGAGAGAGAGAGTGTGTGTGTGTGTGTG